TTGTTTGCATAATTAAAAATGATATTAAGCATAAAGAAATTGCCTATGGGGTGTCATTATTTTTATGGCATTTAAAGCACATATTTCCTCTAAATTCTTAATTCTTAAAAAAAAAAAAAAAATACAGTATATATTGAAGAAATTAATGTTTTCATCATACATTTAAGTCTTTGATTCATTGATTCAACAAATACTACCTTCATGTGTTTACATGAAGTGAAAGGAAATTGTGAAAAGAGCCTTTGGAAATATGGGGCACAATTAAGCACAAAATTCAATTATAATCGTAATATTATTGATTAAAATTAAAATTTACCCCAAACACCCCAAACATTTGAATGAAAATGTATCACAGTTTCTGCATCGTTAAAGAATAATTTTATTTTTTTTAACATTAATAATAATACATGTTTCTTGAACATCAAATCAGCATATTAGAATGATTTCTGAAGGATCATGTGACACTGAAGACCAGAGAATGTTGCTGAAAATTCAGCTTTGTCATCAGAGAAATAAATTACATTTTATAATATATTAAAATAGAAAACAAGGTCACACTTTATTTTATGGTCCAATTCCAAAAAAAAAACATTAATTACGACTTTTGCCTCAATAAACTCCTAATTTGCTGCTTATTAATAGTTGGTAAGGCAGTTGTTAGGTTTAGGTATTGGGTAGGATTAGGGATGTAGAATATGGTCATGCAGAATATGTGCTTTATAAGTACTAATAAACAGCCAATATGTTAATAATAGGCAAGTGTTACCAAAAACAATAATGTTTGGCAGTTTTTACTGTATTTTTGATTGAATAAATGCAGCCTTGGTGAGCATAAGAAACCGCTTTCAATAACATAAAAAATCCTTTAATAGTATTTCGGTGGCCTTTTTAAATGTTCTTCTACAGGCTCGGGGAAAACTGTCCCTGGAATCCCTGGAGGCACAAGACCCGGAGCAGGAAAGATCGGCCGCATGATCGCTGAGGAAGTGATGGAGATACAAAGGTGAGCTGATCGGTTTACACAGTTCAAGTCGAATAATCTGAAATCGAGTCATGATCTTGGTGACACTGCAGCTGGTTTTACCGGTTATTGATATGATTGACAGGATAAGAGGCTCATCTCCCTCTAGTTGTGGCTCAAGTCCCCTCAACATCTCCAACAGCACACCCCCTCCTGACACATCCTCACCGGGGAGCAGGAAGGTAACGTTTGTACTTCACTTACAAGGACACTATGACCATATGATTCTCATGATACAGAAAACATGGGCAGAATCATAAAATTCCTTCATAAAAATAAAATGTAGAGTAAAGAGGAATGTCACAGAAATTTTGGATGAATAAATATAATAGGGCTGTACATTTAATCAAATCACGATATGGACTAGTGTCTGTGAAAATAAAAGCAAAAAAAAAACTGCTATTGAAATCAGCATGTTCTGTCCGTCTCAGAGTGAATGAGCGGCACAGTTTTGTCTACTACTGTACACATACTAAAACACACGATGCTTCTGGTGTTTTCAGCGTCTGTCGTCTCACTATAAGAGGTTCGTCTTCTTAAGAATAAAAAACTTGTATACATCTGGGTAAAATTAGGCTAAGTGATGTGAGAATTCATTTTTGGGTGGAGTATCACTTTAAGGTTTAGACTCTGACAAACATATTTAGATGTACAGAAAGTTCATGTAACGTTACATTAATGTGATAATATAAATCTAATAGCATCTGATTTTTTCCCTAACTGCTCAGATTTCAAACGGTGGAAGTCCAGACATACCTTCAGCAGGGATGGTGTCGGGCCAGGACAGCATAGGATATCCTTACTCTAACAGCTCGGTTTTAAGTAAGTTTTAAAGGTGATCTGATCACCGATTGGTCAGTGTTGCTTTTGAACAGTTCACAATACCGTCTCTGATCTGCAGGTGATCAATCACACATCTGTATCGGTGACATCATGGACGAGCCGGGCTCCAGCAACGATGAGGCTGCCATGGCCATCATCATGAGCCTGCTTGAGGCGGACGCATGTCTGGGAGGTCCCGTGGACTTCAGTGACCTGCCCTGGCCTCTGTGAGAGCCCTGAAGGAGACCTTCACCCAGTCCTAACGGGGTACGACATCAATCCATCTCACTCGCGTTCAAAACCAGCCATGACCCTGACAGTCAACGCATGTGGACAGTTTTTTTTTTGTTGTTGGTGACGTTACGTTTGTTTTTGACACGGTGCCTCAGGTAGCTCCACCCACAGCAAAATCTCATTGGTCCACAGCCTCATTCTACAACTGTGTCAAATGAGTGATTTTGTCACTGTTTCAGTTTCATTGAGGACAAAAGATTCTATAGCACCTGGTTGGGACACAATGTTAGATCGCTCAACATCTTACAACACCCATTATTAGTGCTGGTACGGTGAATAAGGGCATTGTTTCAGTCTACGGAATGTCAAACAACTAAATACCACAAATCCTGTTGGGATGCTTATTAAAAATCAAATGTGTATCATAGATATGTGTATTCTAACATGTACAAGTATTTTATCTGAATGCACGATTGAAATGAACCGAAAGGGCAGCAATATATTTTTTAAAATGAAATATTTCTTTCCGTTTACATTGTTTTGTTTTTTTTCGTACCCATGATTCACGTAGAAATTGAACAGTCTTTTAGTCCTTCCGACTGTAAAGGTTTGAAGGTGAGACCCACCTTGTCATATTTTCATATAAAATAAAAAATACGCTGTCATATAAAGACGCTGATTGATCAGTTGATAATTAAATGAACTGCAGTACAGTAAATAGTAAATGCTAGATTTAAGGTTTAGTCAGTATTTTAGCTATAGTGTTAGATCGCTGTTTGTTGTGTACTTTAAGTACCAATAGCACCACTGTACTGATGTTACAGTAACTTGGCTCAGCCTGATTGTCTCTTGAGTTTTATGTAACAGTATTTTACCATGTATTTATGTTTATGTGTGTTTTGATGACTTTCAGAGAGCGATCTACACAATAATTAATTCCCTTACCTGTCCAACCAAAATAGAAACAATTTGGGGATGATTACTCAGGATTTTCTTCAACATCAAATATTTTCACCTTGTGTATGCTATTGT